AGAGCCCGGCGTTGCCCGGGTATATAACAGTAAGAGATAGATCAAGTATCGACCATCATAAAGACTGAAAAATAAAATTGACAAAGATTATTGTTTAAGGTTGACGGACACGCATGTCTTAATTACTTCTTTTTTTTTATGAATTGGTCAAACCCAAACTCAAACAAAAACATTGTTTTCAATCGTTATGAGTCTCCCGATTGAATAGAATTTTATTATAAATAATTGTCTTGTAAATGGAATTTTTAAAGCATTCTGAATGTTAAAAATAAAGAAAAATGTGTGCAAGAGAATAAGAAACACTACCTGCCAAAAAAAAAAAAAAAGAAGAAAGTGAAGTTTTGTTTTATCGGCTGAAAAATATAGGAAATCCACACCCATATTTAAAGGAACCCACACACACAAACAACCCGATGTGAGTTGTCCACCTTCCATTTTCATGATATCTCTTAATCGTGTTTTCAAATTGATTTTGTGCAAAAACAATTATATTTTTCCCATTTTTGGCGCTGTTAGAACCACCACGAGGTAATTTTATGTAGTCCTGTGAAGCTTTGTTGAAATCGGTTGAAAAATGTAGGAAATTCGATCCAATATATAAACGTTACACACACACACACACACACACACACACACACACACACACACACACACACACACACACACACAATCTGCGTTTTATAATAAGTAAGATAAACATAAAAACTGAACTGAAAGACACTCGTATATCAAAAACGATGGGACAGTCCATCATTCATATATATATATATATATATATATATATATATATATAATGGTTGGTTGCTAGGGATGTTAAATAAGCCCTGTTGCAGGCGCTTGCTTAGGCACATTTTATGTTACTTCAACACTCAGTGAGTCAAACTGCGGTGTGTATTGCAACTATACAGAGCGGATCTTAGTTACAACTTTTGGGAGAGAGGATATTATCTGGTTTGATCAGTAATTGAACAAGTGCAATGTGCTCAACCACTCAGTCACAATGACTGGTGACTTCGTGTTACTACAATCCTTAACGGACAGTTTCGTTTATCCGATTTCACAACTCGTGGTATGGTTTGAAAGAACTTCCCGACCGTCTCCCCAGGCTGATATTACCAAGAAGTCAGCTTCCTCGAGGAATCGACCTTGGTGTGATTCGAACCCGGGTCTCTAATAGCATGGACATGCAAGCCCATGTATATATTTTCTTTATTTTAATGATGAAAAAAGTTATTATTTTACACAAAATTTTTATTCTTCAGTATAGCCTCCTTCCATGCGAATGCATTGTTACACGCACTCATTGATGCAACCCAGTTACATTTGTGTTTTGACATTAAATGAATTTCGTATGTGTAAATACATATTTTTGTATCGTATGCGTCTATATAAATGGACGTTTGTGTTTGTGAAATAAGTCATGGACTGGCTGATATCGCAACGGTCACAATGTCTCCACAGTCTAAATCTAATTTAGCGGAGCAAGAGTTTACAGTCATGCTTCTGAACGTACGGCTTCCGTCGGAATCAATATAGGCGCCATTTTGAATGTCCTTTCTCGCTGTTGCGTTCGTTCGTAGATTGGCCACTTGGGCAGGCGAACGCTGGAGGAGAAAATTCAGATTGGTTTGCGTTCCCGCTTTTATTTCCATAGGAACTTTTGTGCTTGATTGCTAGAGAAACAAAATTCTCCGGCGGCCTAGAAAAAGTTACCAGATACAAAAATCCTAACTTTTTAAAGTGGGGAAAAAAACATTTTTCCAGAACGAGAGAGAGGCAAATAGAATCAAATATCCGTGGATATATCGACTTTATAAAAAAATGTCCGCCAGATGATAGTTGGTAGTCACTTTTAAAGAAGAGACGGCGAAGAAGAAAAGAAAAATATAATGGAACGAAGAATAAGAATAAAAAATGGAACAGGAAGAGGAAAAAGGGAGGAAAAAATATAAAGAAAGAGTTGAAAAAGTAGAGGAAAAGTCAGACGTAAGAAAGGAGAGAAAAAAGAAAAAAATGTCGAATACGGAGAAGAAAAGAGTGGGAGGTGTAACAAGAGAAAGAAAATGGAAGATTGGCAGGAGAATAACAAGACGAAAGAGAAGTAGAAGGTGTAGTAAAAAAGAGTTAGAGTAGAAGAGAAGGAGGAATCGAAAGAAATAGAAGAGAAAAAAGGAGAAATATAAGAAGGGGAGGAGGAAAGGAAAAGGGTAAATCGGTAAAAAGAAATGGACGCTGGTGGAGAGAAAGGAAGAAGGTGAAGGAAAGAAGTGACAGAAGGAATGGAGAAAGAAGAAAAAGGAAAAGAGGAAAAGATTTGGAACAGGAGTGTAGAAGAAGAAGAAGAAGAAGAAGAAGAAGAAGAAGAAGAAAACGGAAAAAGCAGAAGAAAAACGATAGAAGAAGAAGAGAAGAAAAAAACGAAAGAAGGAGAAGAGAGAAAAAGAAAAAGAAGAAGAAAGAAGAAGAAGAAGAAAACGAAAGAAGAAGAAGAAAACGAAAGAAGAAGACGAAGAGGAAGAGGAAGAAGAAAAAAACAGAAGAAGAAGAAGAAGACGACGAAGAAGAAGAAAACGAAAGAAGAAGAAGAAGAAAACGAAAGAAGAAGAAGAAAAAGAAGAAAAACGAAAGAAGAAGAAGAAAAAGAAAACGGAAGAAGAAGAAGAAGAAAACGAAAGAAGAAGAAGAAGAAAAAGAAGAAAAACGAAAGAAGAAGAAGAAAAAGAAAACGAAAGAAGAAGAAGAAGAAGAAGAAAACGAAAGAAGAAGAAGAAGAAGAAAAAGAAAACGAAAGTAGAAGAAGAAAGAGAAGAAGAAAAGGAAACAAGAAGGAGAAGAAGAAGAAGAAAACGGAAAAAGCAGAAGAAGAAGAAAAAGAAGAAGAAGAAAAAGAAGATGGCGGGCGTCTAGAACCGAAAAAATATATGAAGCAATATTCGAACAAATTTGAATAAAAGGCAAAAGCTGGTCTTCTTCATATGTTGCTCAGTCGATAGGAATCGATCGTTGCGTTTGCTACAGAAATGAAGACTCATTGAATAGAAAACAGCTAAAAAAACGATTCTTAGGCTAAAGACAATTCTTACGCTTAACATAGATTGGCACAAGGGCACAGAAATCGAGCTCTACAGTTAATATCCTTTGTTATTCCCTTACACTTTACTTTAGATTGCCTTGTATGTGCGCGTAGCTTAACGGTAATCGTCGCGAAAAGTGAACTCGAGGAACTGAGTTCAAATTCCGGCCAATTCTTTTGTGTTTTATTTCACATAAATGACAGCGGGAAAAGAGAACACATCTCTTCTTCCAACTCCAACTCTAGATTCAATAATGAAGTAGCCTTGGATCGCAGTGGAGGACAATTCTGAATTTCAAACGATGAAGAAGTCAATACGAAACCACTATCTTTCCCAAGGAATCATGATACATATGAAAGAAAAGGAATGGAATTTGTGGACATCCATGATCGTCTAGGGGCACTTGTTTGTAAATACCAGTCTTGAGGTTGTTTCCTGATTGAAGCAATCGTATTCAGAAGGACACGTATTCAACCAATAGCAAAACACAACGCAAGTATTTACCCCCCGTTCAATCGGTGGCTTGGCATTAAGTCATTTTCCTTTACCACCGGTAAAGCAGTGGCTTAGGGTTGAAAGGGTTAATAACTGTTTTGGGATCTTACCCATAATAATAATAATAGACTATTCCATACTTAATAAATACTGCGCCTCAGGAGTAGGCAAGGGGTGAGTCAGCCGTTCATTTTTGAACAGACTGCTCGGTTTAACTCTCTTCCTACGGGCGGGAGGAACCCGAAGGAGGCTACGCCGATGGGCGGAGTCTCCTTCGGGGAGGTAAAACCGGCCCTGAACCCGTTTATACGGGTTCAATGGGCATATTTTTTGGCCGAGCCCACGGGCTCGGAGAACCCACAATAAATAACCGACCTTGTGTCACATGTTGCCCCAGTGGGGGGGGGGGGGTTGAAGACTGAATATCGTGAGCCAGTAGTTCAAGTGGAGTCAGAGGCAGTCCGAAACAGAGTCGCGTTCAGACAATTACTGCAAGACATTGGAATAGTGATACTGGTCGAGACTACATTGTTCTCCCTACTAAACCTGATTATTCATACTAACACTTTCTACTTCTCTGTATATATTCCTGTTTGTAATATATCTGTGTTATTCCATATCCGTATTCGAGTTCTTCTTTATTGGTTCTACCTTGGACTATCACCGTCGTACAAGGAACCGGACCATAACAATAATAATAGTGATGGAAACATAAGCATAAAGGAAAAAGTAGCTAAATATAATCGGCTAGACTACAATATGGCCAAAGTATATATTTAAAAAGAAAAAAAAAAAGAAATGTAAAATTCTCAGCATTCGCTTCGTGCGCATGCGTAGTCACATCAATGTAAACATCACTTTAGTTCGATGAAGTCCTGAAGAATGAAACGTATCGTACGAAAACTTTTTCCACTTTGTCATATTTTCGCCCCCCTAAAAAATAACTCGTCAGGTGTGTTCATGTCGGGTGTGTGTGTGTGTGTGTGCAAAAACTCAATTTCGTGCGTGATGCGGATCTTCACTTGGTGTCAAGGAGATCACCTCTTAGGCCAACCTTGGACCTAGCTTCGCTGACGTCACACTCTGTACAAAGTCTTCTCTGGTATGATCTGAGCTCAGACGCATATTCAAATCTAATCTTCATCATTTTCAAATTAGTGGCGTCTGTATGTTTTTCTTACTAATCGGATAATTTTAGCATATGTGTTGATTCCTTTAATATACATATTTTCCTATATTGTTCGTTGACTAAACAGTACAAGTAAAGCTCTTGGTTCCCCAGGTGTAGTGAGTTAAATTCTTAAATCCGATAATGCAGAACTCTGTACTGTCTCAGTGGAGAGGCAGATTGGCGTCACTAAGAAAAATAGAGGTTTACATGTTCCTAAATTTTCGAGGAGTCTGGTTTGCGGCAACGTATCGCTGTTCCATTCGACATTCCCCGAGGCTAGCAAAATTGTTATCGCCACGTAACGAAGGCTACAAACGACAAAAAAACGATGAAAACTGATCTGCATGAAAAAGAAATAAAAATGTCCTCGCCTTAGAAATTATGAGAAAAGTTATTATACATTGAATTATTCACACTCATATTTATTTTGATCATTAAGCTATCATAAATTCAAAGATGGAAGAAATAACAAAATGATAAAAATTCGTGACTGTTTTATTACGAACCCTTCACCGGATGCTTGTTGAAGAAAAGAGTGTGACAAATGTCAGTGTAAGTAAGTTTTTTTTTCTTATATTTTCACCCCATGCAGGGCAATAAGAGCACTAAGACTCAAGGAGTTACTGAGTGTGAAAGAATATAAGAAAATTAAGGAGAAAAAGCAATAAAAGAAGAAGAATTAAGAAAACAGAAGATAATGATTGGCATTGCATTTAAATTTTGAAGATCAAACTTGACTGGGAAGCAAGAAACTGGAAGAGACTTCCACAAGCGAGAAGTTCGAGAGAAGAAACTTATCTGTGAAGCAGTTTTCTCCATATATATGATCGCCATTACTGACGATAATGGGGATCCCATAGCTATATCTTCTTACTGACGATTGGAAGTGAATTGTTTGCACACAGAATGTTAGAATTTTCATTAGGATTTATATCGGGATGTTTCTACCTTCAGTGAATGTTTGGCTGGGATGCAGCTTTTCTCAAAATACTGATAGGATTTCATCTGTTTTAACTTTAGTGAGCAGGGTCAAAACGTCAGCATTTGAATGTATTAGATTATATCTACAAAAGAGACCGAGTCCTTTGCATAGGATGAAGACTTACCTGTCAGTTGACTGAGAATATCTGCCACGATTATCCTCAATGGATGACATACTGACATTGATAATTTAACAGGAGATCGAAAAACGAGAAAAGACTTCTATAAGCGAGAAGTGTGAAAAAAAAAATGATTAGAATAAAACTTAGTTCCATCTAGCAGCCATTTCAACTGTAAAATGATGAGACCTTCTCGCCAATCTCGCAATGAACAAGACAAAGTTAAGGTGCCATAGAAGAAAGTTCATCAGGACAATTACCATGAAAATATTTATAGAAAAGGCGCAGGGAAGCTACATTACAGCGATGGGAAAATGACTGAAGCCGAGATGCCAGGTCAGGACTAATGACATTGCAGATTATTCTTTGGATTTTATCAAGAATCTCTAAATATACAGCAGCAACGCCAGACCATATATGGCAGCAATATTCAAGACATGGACGAATGATAGATTCTGGCGAGAAAAATTGTCTACGATGACACAATGAACCAAACAATCATTCATTGAGAAATTATCAATTATTACCAGGTAATCGTTTCATCCATTGCTGTCACCGTTTAAGAGAGAATCATCATGGAAAAAAGATTGTCATTGTATTCGCTCGCTTGCATTCTCATTGATCTTCTCATTATGTAAAAAAAGGCCCAAATAAATAAGGCATAGTACCCTATAATTAGCATGTAATAGTTATCTTCCTTACAGAATCTTTTTCTTTCAGTTCAGCTTGAGTACAGAACCCATTATATTATCATTTAATTGTAAATCTAATTTGGATTTAAATTTGGAATTAAATTAGTGGATGTTATAATAATTCTAGCACCGTTTCGGCTACGGCGAACATACAGACATACAAAATCTGACTTTTACAATTACAATTCAATTGAAACAAAACAAATAATTCCGTTATTATTTGCTTAATTTTCGTAATTTTCCCAATAAAACATGACCCAGTGCACATGTTAGTAATTCCATTCCGTATGTCCATTCCACAAACTCATTCCTTACAGATTGACCACAGATACTTGATTCGATTTAAATCAAGAGAGTTTCCGAGTCAATCTATAGCATTTGATTTCCTCACTGGTAAGGCTTGTCAGTGTGTTCGTGTAGCGTTACACTTTTCCTACACTTCCTAGGAGTAACGTCCATCACAGACAAAGGCTGTAGGACAATGAATCGACAATCGAAACAGTAGTGTCTGAGCATTATAAAAATCTGATGTAATCACAGATGACGCAATATTTTTCAAGGCCAAACAAATTTCATCATACAATCCGAAAATAGATTCATATTACTGCACACCACTGCAAATGATGTAATCTGAGGAAGGTATAGAAATTGATTACACCCTGTCACTCCAGTGGGGCTAAAATTGATCGTATGGTGAAAGAAAAGAAACTAAAACGGTTGTTTCAGTTAATGAGCACAAGGGTGATATATATATATATATATATATATATATATATATATATATATATATATATAAAATATAAAAAGAAAACAGACACCTTTTTAAGGTACCATTATAATAATTTATTTCACCAGAGCCCTTTTAAAGGACGCCAGTTCATCAGATAGCACTTCCAAAAATGAAATGAAACGAAAAATGAAATTAAAATTGATGGGTAGTGTAAGTTTTTGTAATTTAACAGAGAGTGCAATAAGGAGTGGTTAGAGAGACATGTTAGAGCATAGGGCGGGATTAATTTCATATCTCTCTCAATCATACTTTGTATTGAGAGAGGAGGAGTGACCAGACCGTGACCTATTTAGATGGTTAACTTAACGGAAATGATATATTGAAATTGGAGGGGAGTAGGGAGAAAAGGAAAAAGGAAAAAAATAGAAGAGGGAGAGGGAAGTAAAGAGAAAGAGGCTGTAATTAGGTTTTAGCAATTTATGTAAAGAATAGATTTTAATGCTTGATAGTAATTTAGATGTCGAAATTAATATGATGCTTGCTAGCAATTTAAATATTTAACTTTTTACAAATAGTTTAGGGATTTAATATGAGTTAAATACTATATTTATTAACCCATTTATAGAGAACATATTAAAAAAATTAAGTTATAACAGTTTGTTTACCCGACCAATAGTACTTTTTTAATATTGTAAAATTATATATATATATATATATATATATATATATATATATATATATTTGAATAAAAACAGATCACTTTAATGTTCCATGTAACGTGATCTGTTTTTATTCAAACATATTTCTCTGAAATCATCCTCCTTGGGTCTACCCATACGGATTACCTAATTTTGCATAAAATATATATATATATATATATATATATATATATATATATATATATATATAGCACCGTTTCGGCTACGAGGAACATACAGACATACTTATACAATTATATAGGTTAAAAGAATTAATTATCAGTTCAATGATTAGCCTTCAACAACAATGTCATTCCATCTCTGGTGATTGACTCAAACACTTATGTGTTCCATTCAAGTTGAAAACATTTTACTGATTAAGGCGTGCATTTCGAACCATTCTACATTTCGCTTTTTTTTTTTGAAACCTCAACGTTCGTCGAACAAAGCGAAGAAGATATATACAAATTCAAAAGCGTACCTTGGGATATTTAAATTTCAAATTTTAATTTTAATTTATGATTTGAAAACGTCGAAAAAATTTTAAAATCAAAAGTAAAATGCAGAAACCAGTTTTATTATTTGAGAAAAATGTTTGTTTAAAGGTTTTTTCTTATTTTTGTATTCTCAGTTATTATTTGACTTTATTTTGACTTCATTTCATATATATATATATATATATATATATATATATATATATATATATTAAAAAGTCCTGGTTGTAATGATTGATATACGTGTGTGTGTGTGTGTGTGCGTGTGTATGTATGTGTGTGTGTGTGTGTGTGTGTGTGTGTCTGGTTCCATGTAGTTTGGGATGGGTATGACGTGTACTTGTGGATGGGATAGTGTGTATGTGCGTGTGTGTGTAATTCGTGTATAAGTACAAAATAAGTTTACGAATTCCTCGTATCCGCGTCCTGGGTATGACGATAAAACATTAAAAGATTAAAATTCCAACAACAAGGCTTCAGATAATATTTTATTCCATTGAACATGAAAAATAATGTTGCCAGCTATACGTTTTTGAAAAATAATGTATAATATACGTTTTTGGAACCATAACATATTTCATATATAAAAAATAATAATATCGTCCTGGGTAGCTATATCGCTTTTGAAAAACAATAATATTGTCAACTATGCGTTTTTTTTTGAAAAGATAATGTTGCCAGGTATATGTTTAATAGTACTGTATATTTAATATATGTATAGGTATATGTGTATATATGTATATATATATATATATATATATATATATATATATATATATATAATTTTAATTTGGCATTAAATGACCCACAGTGGTTGATATGCCATAAAACCCAACCAACCAACCAACTATATATATATATATATATATATATATATATATATATATATTACAGGAAGAAAATATCTATTTGCTGAAATGAATGGCAAACATCGAAAAGAATAGCAATAAATTTTGTAAAAAAAAAATTCTTTACCTCTGATTTTTAAATTTTCATCGTTATTGTGATAGATATTTAAACAATAGTCGTCTCTGTTGCTGTTAAAGAAGTTCTGTCAACAATAATAATTGAAGGAAATAAGAAAAAATTTATCGCTAACAAAAGAAGCCAAAAGGTAATTTCAAGTTGGTGAAGAAGAGCAAATAAATAATAATATGCCTACTGCAGCAGCCAAGAACCCAAAACAGAATGCAAATGCAAATGCAAATGCAAATACCCAAATGCAGAAAAGATAGCAAGATAAGCCCCTTCATGGTTAATATTCTGGCCATACCAGACAAGCTGATGTCAACAAATCCCGTACCCATCAGTGGTTGCGTAATGCAGGGTTAAAAGCTGAAACAGAAGGTTTCATTCTTGCTGCACGGGACCAACTCTTGCTAACTAGAAATTGCGAAGAAAACATAGTGAAAAAACTGACCATCTTGTATCACGTCGCACGGTATTAGGGTCCCACCGAATATAAAACTCACCATGACAAGATGGGGCCAATATATGCAGTGCAATATCTGCAAATTTTACGGGAAGGAAACTTCATGGAATTGGT